GACCTACGTTGGGGGTTCAACAACGTCCGGATCAAAGATGGGGACGAGTGGAAGGCAGCGTTCGCGACCAACCGGGGGTTATTTGAACCCATGGTGATGTTTTTCGGCCTGTGCAACTCCCCCATGACCTTCCAGACCATGATGAACGACATCCTTCGGGATTTCATTGACCGGGAAGTCGTCATTTGCTACATGGACGACATCCTCATCTTCACCGCGACCCTAGAGGACCACCAGAGGGTAGTACGGGAGGTCCTGGAGATGCTGCGAAGGAGGAAGCTCTTCCTGAAGCCCGAAAAATGTAAATTTGAGCGGACACGGATTGAGTACTTGGGCCTCGTCATCTCGGAGGGCAACGTGGCGATGGATCCTGTGAAAGTCCGTGGAGTTCTTGACTGGCCGGTCCCAACCAAAGTGAAGGAGGTGCAGTCCTTCCTAGGGTTTGTGAACTTCTATCGCCGGTTCATCAAGGACTTCTCAGAGAAAGCACGCCCCCTCCACAAGCTGACCCGGAAAACCCAAGCCTGGAATTGGGGCCCGGATGAGGACGGTGCCTTCCTAGCCCTTAAAGAAGCCGTCACTACTGCACCCGTCCTCTCCTTCCCTTCAGACTCCGGCCGCTTCAAGCTCGAATGCGACGCTTCGAACTTCGCAACCGGTGCAGTCCTCTCCCAGCTCCAGTCAGATGGGGAGTTCCACCCGGTAGCGTTCATGTCCAAAAGCTTCACGGATGTAGAACGCAACTACGAAGTGTACAACAAGGAAATGCTGGCGATCGTCCGAGCCCTTGAAGAGTGGCGGCACTTCCTAGAAGGCGTTGAAGAGAGGGTTGAGATCTACACCGATCACCGCAACCTGAGCTATTTCCGGACGGCCCAAAGGCTGAATCGACGCCAAGCCAGATGGACCCTCTTCCTCTCCCGCTTCCACTTCACCCTTGTCCACCGTCCTGGGAAGCTCATGGGGAAGCCGGACGCACTCTCCCGTCGTGCTGACCACCCGAAGGGGAGAGACGACAACGAGGGGCTAACTCTTCTCCAACCCGCCTGGTTTGAAGCCCGCGCGACAGAGGCAGTTTCGGTAGAAGGTGAAGAGGCGGGTATTCTGGGAAGGATACGTGAGGCAAGGGACCATGACGAGAAGGTAGTGAAGGCCATGCGAGAACTGGGTGAAGGGATGTTAAGGTCGGACGAATGGGAGAAGCAGGGTGACCTGATCCTGTACCGGGGAAGGGTGTATGTCCCAAAAGATCCCCAGCTCCGCCATGATCTGGTACGGCTACACCACGACTCACGGCGACGGGGCACCCAGGGTGATGGAAAACCCTGGAACTTGTCTCCCGTGACTACTGGTGGCCCCGGATGGCTGAGTATGTCGGACGATATGTACGCGGATGCGACACCTGCAATCGCGTCAAACCCTTCCCCTCACGAAAGGTTGGGAAACTTACCCCGAATAAGATCCCCACCCATCGTTGGCAGGTCATCTCAGTGGACATGATAGGGGAGCTCCCAGAGTCCAGAGGATATAATGCCATCCTGGTCGTAGTAGACCGGCTGTCCAAACGCATCCACGCGGTCCCCACCGTGATGACTGTGGACTCGGAGGGTATCGCACGACTCTTCTTGGAGCATGTCTGGAGACACCATGGGCTCCCGGAAGAGATCCTCAGCGATAGAGGGAGCACCTTTGTCTCCCGCTTCTCGAAGGAGCTCGCAGACCTCCTAGGTGTCAAGCTGACCCCCTCAATGCCCTACCACCCCCAGACGGATGGACAGACGGAGCGGGTCAACCAAGAGATCGAGGCCTACCTCTGGGTGTTCATCAACCACCGCCAAGACGACTGGGCGGACTGGCTCCCGCTAGCAGAATTCTCCTACAACAACCGCGTTCACTCCTCCACTCACCGAACCCCCTTTGAACTCGACACCGGCCAACACCCCAGGATGGGGACAGAACCCACGCGCACATCCGAGGTGGAAGCCGCCGATGCATTCTCGTCAAGGATGATGAAAATGCAAGAGGAGGCAAAGGCAGCCCTAGAGCATGCAGCGGACGAGATGGCACGATATTACGACCGGGACCGTGACCCGGCCCCTAAGTATCGAGAGGGTGACCAAGTCTGGCTCAATGCCTACAACTACACGACCGACCATCCGACTAAGAAACTGGACCACAAGTGGCTTGGCCCCTTTAAGATCACTCAAGTCATCTCCCCGGCCGCCGTTAAGCTCCAGCTCACCGCCCGACAGAAGGGAATCCACCCAGTTGTGTCCGTGACGAACGTCAGGCCACACCTCCCGGACGGTATCGCAGAAAGACCCGCTGACCCACGCCCAGGCCCGGAACTGGTAGAAGGAGAGGAAGAGTATGAGGTCGAGAAGATACTGAACTCTAAGTGGCTACGCCGGAAACTCTGGTATCTGGTAAAGTTCACTGGCTGGCCGAACTCTGAAAACCAATGGCTCCAGCGGGACCACCTAACCCATGCCCCCGACCGAATCGAAGAATTTCACAGGACGCACCCCCAAGCCCCAGGGAGAGAAAGGGAGAACCACCTGGCCGCTTCGAGGCGAAGCAGCTTAAGGGGGGGGTGATGTCAGGGCACACCCACCTGACCCGGCTCCACCCGGCCCAACCTGACCCGGTACCCCGCCGGTCCACCCTTCCTTACCTCCTCCCCCTTTCCCTTCTTCCCCCTCATCCTCCCCTCCTCAGTCTCTCCTTATCTTACTTCTCCTTTATTCTCTCTTTATTCTACATGGACGACTTTCTCTGTATCAATGTACAACTGACCCATCTGCAGCGCGCCCACCATGTACCTGGCCCGGGCACCTCAGGCGACTTCCCACTGTGCCCAGCACGCGCGCCTGCACCGGATACCCTCGGGATCTCCCACGGAGACACCCGGGTGGTTACGGCTGTGTGCGAGGGTGACGTGGCATCCGTCATGTGATCCAAGCCGCATGTATATAAACGAACCTGAAGTGGGAACCGAAGAAGTAGCCTTCTTCTCAACTTTCCACTTCAGGTAAGTAGTACAATATTTCTCCTTTAATAATAATAACAACTTTCCACTTCAGTCTAAGTGGCCAGGGACCACTGTCCCACATCGGGCCTGTCAGTACGCATGCCCGATCCGCCCCCCGCCAGGCTCTCGGTCCCGGACGCTATACCCGGACCCCCTCAACCCCGGACGAGTCCCTGACACTTCGGCAACTGATGTTGTGGGGCTGCTGGAATTGGCTTGGTGATTAGGGAGAGAGGTGGGAATCAAGGGGGGAGAATGTGCTGGGGAACTGGGAGATAGTGGCAAGGGGGGGGCCACTGTTGGCCGAACAGATTGGGGCTTCTTGAAAAAGGACTTCATCAATGATACTTGTGTATCTATTTTAGTCTGGTTTTTCTGTAATTCCTGGGCTTTGCAGCAAGCTTTCTTTCCTCTATGATTCAGCATATTCACAAGGCCACCAGAGCCTAGTAGGACTTCCTTCCCACAATCCGGACACACATCGCTGAAGCCTAGTCCTTGGGACTAGGCACACATCCGAAGTTAATGACTATATCATTACTGAACATGCAAGAGATACCTTCATTAAGTTGGTTTCCCTGGTTTAGATAGCTAGCAAAGCGAAGAAGAGCACGAAACAACAGTTCACATATTCCATATTTGGTCATCGGCATTCCCCGGCACTATGGCTACTGCCGATTGAATTAGGCATGGGAGGGAGGGTGTCTCACGTGGTGCCAAAACTTAAAAAGGGACGTGGTGTTTATGATTCATGTGATTGACACCCCTTGGTGCCTGCGGTGATTGTCGATCACACACTTTCACCGACTGGTTGGACACTTGCTGGATGGCTCACATCCGAAACCGTGGGTAGAGCCACCTCCGCGCATGCACTATGTTTTGCACACCATCTTAGATACTCAAAACATCTTAAAACTAATGGAAGCGAGGAGTCCTCTTTCAGGACGCAGTTGGGATCTGAACAAAGGGGAGCAATGCATTCCGTGACCATTGTCTTCCTAACGAGCACTCCGACATCAAATAAACCCTTTCTCCACCTCAATCTCTTCCCTCGTATACCTTAGGATATATTACTGCGACGAACTTAAACGCATTAAAATCCCATCACATAGGGGATTTTCTCCAAGCAGCCTTCGAAGGGACCAGGTTCCTTGAATGATTGACCCCGTTCTACCACCAAATGAGAGAAACCCATTCCGCACGTTAGCGCCCCTTCTCAACACCAGTTCTAAACAAAGAACGATCCACGAAGCAAGTTGTCATCAGCAGCAGGACTCATCTGGTCGATAATACTTCAGGTGCCTAGAATTGAAGGCTAGTCGTGGTAGGCAGCTAATTCTCCATGCGAGCGCATGCCGTCCTAGAGGACGTAATCTGCTCCACCAACCGAAGTTTCGATACCGGAGATATCGCAAACCGCGATCGAGGAAGATGAATAACGAGGGTTCGTATTCTGCGAGTTATGGAGGGTCCAAGCAGATTCCGATGCCGTCGTTAAAATCCCTGAACACGTTGAGCCCCGAACTCCAGTTTTTAACTTTGAGTTCGAACCACCTTCAGTAATGATTTATGGCTTCACGCGTGGGGCCACGGCGTCGTTCTTCAGATTTATCCGTGTTTCCAAATATGGGTCGATCGTCTGATCAAGAAACGTTAATTGCGACTGTTTATTCTATGGACGGGGAACGCCCACATGGTAGGTCTTTAAATGTACGCCTTTCCGGTCTCCTCGTTGACAAGCTACCATGCTCGGCCCCTTTAGGCGTACAGTGAGACGCCGCCCGCGTTGGAACCAGGTCAGAAGAAACACCGCGGGAAATCATTGCGGGATGCACACCGGTAGAACGCATGCAGCAGTTTGGAAGTGTAAATTACTGCTCTTTGCAATTGTTTTTCGAACGAGCTCAGCCGGCGCCAATTGTTTTGAAAGCGCGGAAATGAATTGAACTACCTAATTGAATTCCGGAGTCGGGTGTTTCCACGTCGGCGCCCATCAGCTGAACAGTCGTGCAGCCTACTTGTCATATCTGCCCTTATCTTGAGGACTTTTGATACAACGGACAGTCGATCAATTCAACGCCATGTCTGTTCATGAATCACCGTGGCCGTTGTCCTCTAGAGCGAGTCAGATTTCCACCGACTCGACTTACTTTCAAGACCACATTTCGGATCATGAAGTGCTTACACCGAGTACAACAGCGACCTTTGGCACGACTTCCATACGTATAAATCCAGGGTCGGAACTACCCCATCATCCACCCTCTTCATCAGGGTCTCCCCCACCTAAGCCACGCTCTAGGAAAAACACCAGCACGAGCGCGTCAACTAAAGCCCCAACCGCAGCCCCCCCTCTTCTTTCATCGTCCAAAGTGATAAAGTTTACACCTCTTTCTGCTTCCCGGCCTGAAGAAATATGGAGGGAGATTTTGAAGACCGCATATGGGCGAGATAAAGCATTTGTGAGATTTTCTCACCTGCGACAGTGAAATTGACTTGTTCCTTATGTGATCCTCATGTTACAGAAAATCATACAATATACTATGCGGCTCATTCTGATGGTTCATACGCGCACTGCCTTCCTGTTCCGACAGCCGCGCGGAGGAGAATTAGCACGCAGACTAAACATTTCGATTGGTCACCTTTCGATCACAAGGTGCACTGTCAACAGCACTTCTCTTCTCCGCCCTCCCACTAATAAAGCAACTTCAGGAAATGCCTTATCATGTTCAACTGGCTGACGCCTCTGACTCATATTGTATCGCCACCCGAGTCCAATATCCCATTCGCCTCGGCCGCAACTATCACGTCCCCGACTCTTATGCACCGTTTCCTCCATGCTCCGCCACCCGTTTTGCTCGATTTGTTCAACGCAATTTCCGACGATGTTTCGACACTCTCCAAACTGGGGCTTCTTGGCGCGAGAATAGGCCACCGAGCTGGGAGGTTAGCCGATTGGTTCTGGTTCGCAAGCACCCTTGCTGGACTTGTCGAGGTCGGGGCAGAAAGGGCGATGGTTAAGGGGATGTTGCATGAATGTCGGTAACATGAGTTTCTTTTGATCAATGAATAGGCAACTGATCGTCCTCCCCATCAAGTGCAAGAGCGGATATACGACGCTGGATTAGAGATGGGAACAGACACTGCCGAAATTGAAGAGGATGAAGCGGAACTCAAGAAGCTCAAAGCACAGTATGGGTGGTTGCAAGTCACCAGGATGAAGCTCCTGATGGATCTTATTTTTGTTTGTGCGTTATTCATCTATTAAGCCCATCCCTGCTTGCTCATCCCAAAACTAGCCTACGATGTATTTAAATTGCAGAAAGCAAAAGATTCTGTCAAGACCTACGCAGGACTGGCATCTGCTCTTCTTAGGTTTGTGTGCTCTCGAGAGCCCCACGTTCGTGAACCTGATTCTCACATCATCACCAACAGCACGTGGAAGATGTATGACCGACATCGCAGCGAACTCGACAAAGCAAACGCATAAACAAGTCGAACGTCAGTACCTGACTATTCTCTGGTTATAATATTTGGTGATTTCTTTGCTATTATACGATTCTTCGAGGCCGTTGTGTTCTTGCATCCCTTTACTCTCGCTTATTACAGAGACACATTCATTCATGTAGATAGGAAATGCAAGCGGGGGACGTTGGACAGGGAGCATGGCACCTCAACCATAGATGTTTCCCTGAAGCAGTCATGTATGAGGCCCCAGTCAAGACGGTTGTCCGTATTGATGAATGCACTCCAACATACGAAAATCATTTCGTGTCCCCATCATAGCCTTTACGATGTGCTAAACCAAGTTCAACGTCAGTTTGCACTGAAACTCCACCATCGCTTCACGTTGATTGGGGAAGATGGCGTCGCCTGGGAGGCCGGGGAGGCTTGTGACTGTAGAATCTCGATGTGTTGCTTAAGAGAAGCAATTTCTGCCTTGGCCTCCCGCACGTATTTCTCATGACCCAGATAGTTGCGAGTTAAATGCAAGGACTAACATGTAACAACAATAAGTGAAACGAGTAACTTCCACAGCCAACACCCATAGACCTTACCATATACACAGCAGACCCAAGAATGAATATAGGTATCATAGCAGGGACGAGCTCTCGGTAGAACGTTGCATGCTTGGATGGTTTTTTGGTCGCAGGGTCCAAACTATGATTCATAGAGGCGTGGGATGTGGATATAGATCGATGAGATGAGGGGTCTACATGGCTTGGGTGTGGAGAGCGAGGCGAGGACGCCCTGAAAGCCCCAACGACTATCCTTCTCATGTCGCGGTGGCTGTTCAGCCTAACGACGTCACGCGCGCAACACCGTGGCGCCTATTCATCCCCGAAGAAGCTGGGAAGTAATTCTGACAATTGTGTTTCACCCACCCACATTTTCCCTCCCTGAAAGAAGGCGGCACCAGGTATTGCGGTCACATCGGCGATATCTTCACTCTCTGAGAAAATTCATTCGTCATAATCAGCAGGCCATCAGTGACCTTGCATCACGCTAAAAGGATGGATGGATTCGGTCTCTACACTTCACTATCACTTTTTTTTGGGAATATTCCGCCTAGTTTCTGGGAAACTCTGGCTAGTTTTGATATTTACGTTTACTTTACTTGGAGAACTGTTTCGGTTGGCCGCGAATAACCGTGTTCCCCGACCCCTGCGTACTAGTACCCCAGCCTGGAAACTTAGAGCTAGCTTTTCGGCACCCACCCAGCCTAGGTACCGCAAAGGACCGTCATCCCACCCTCTAGTACTGTGGAAAACATCGGTCCTTTGCCGTCATTCGCCATTTATAGTCTTCATACAAATGGAGATCTACTGGGAGCTCAAATAGTTACCCGTGGAAAACATTTCGGGGTCGACTGCGCGGCCAACGACGCAAGCAACTTTCTGTAGCTTGTTTGGATCTTAATAATGAAGTCTTGACGTTCAGAATTTACAGACTTCTCTGCCACCTGACCTTCACCTTTCCCTTCTCTACTAGTGTCTGGCCCATCTTGCGGCTGGCTGCTGAGCAGACCCTCCAAAGGAAACAATGTAGCTTTGAATTTGCTCGAGTATGGCAAACCCAGCGGGTGCATACGGCACTACCAGAGGATGGGCAAAACCCCTTTTTGCTCGCTCTACATTTAAATCCCTTATCTGCATCGTGGTCTTCCCAAAAATGTGCGCAAGACGCTTTAGATAATTCAAAAACCGACGTGAGTTGTTATTATTACGTTAGGACGAAAAGTCCCTCGTGCCCATTATTTTACTTTCGTCCTTCTTTATTCGCAAACCACATTGGGAGATTCTTCATACGCTTTCGGATGAACAAATGGCTGAACATTCAACTACTGACTGGAAAGTGTCTGGATCTTCTAGATGAAATCCAAGTCTTTGCTAGAACTTTTCGTCTGCTCATTCTGATCACTTCCTTTCTAGACATTCGCCGCCACGATTAGCTAGCGAGCAGCTGCATGAACGATGATAATTTTCCCGAGTCATGGTCGAGGATTGCATTGCTGATACTGCATACTTGCTGCGCTGAACAGTCTTGGTACTTAAAGGAGCCAACAGCGTCAATTGACCCATGTTAATCGATCTACATAGAAACTGCGATCGATTCCTAACCATGGCATCACAATATATGACATCCAATTCTCCACATTCTCCACCACTCTCCCACCAATTCTACGCATGTATGCACCAGTTACCTGCCATTTCCGCTGATTCTCGCCCAATTTGTGGACCGGTAACAATTCTCAGCACAATGAAGAGTTATTTTCAAACAAAACGATATCAATTCATAACCCCCCTTCATACTCATTAAAACAGCACAACTCGGAAAGCTCGTGACGAATAGAAGATATCGAGAGATAGGTGGAAAAAAACGGCAGAGCAGAGACATGAGAAACAACGTTTATCCTCCCATGCTATCTCGGCCGTTCTTCAGTGGTATAGTGTCCGGCTGGTTAAAGGTAGCTGGTATCTGGGTCGCCGGTGCTGGAGGGGGCACTGTCGGTATGGACTCAGTAGACTGCAATATCACTGGAGGATCCGAAGAAAGGGGCGGTGTTGGAGGTGAGGATGTAGCTGGCGGTGCTGACTGGACAAGAGAAGGTGGCATGGCAGACGTAGGTGGCACGGCAGACGTCGGCGGCGACGTCGGCGCTGGCGACGCAGACTCATTCAATGCCGCCACCATTGCCTTGGCATACATCTTAGGATGAATTGTCCTACAATGGGACATCCATTCGTTCGGATCGTCCCCGACTCTCTCAGGCTCTTGTCCTTGAATGACCCGTTTCCTGGGAACGCAAATTGAGACAAACAATGCGTCTTGCTATCGTGCAAACCAACGCACCGGCAAAATGTACATTCATACTCGATTTTGGGTAAACCAGACACTTGTTCGAACATGTGATTAAATAATCGCAAGAATACAGGCTTCGACGCCAGCTCTGAAGAAGAAAGTTCGTTGGGTTTAACTTCACGACCTATAGGCGAGGTAGCGGAAGGTGTTCTCGACATGACAGTCGCAACGCCCTCTTGCGCCACTCCTTCTGCAACGACTGGAGATGTCAGGGGCACTGACTGAACAGACGGCGTTGTACTAGGAGTGTTCCCTTGTCCAACTATTCGAGCAGGTTGGGGACTCGGAGCCGTCAGAGAAGAAGCCTGAACAGATTTAGGCGCAGAAGAGTGAGCAGGAGCAGGAACGATGGTTACTGTTGGTGGCTGCTGGTTGTTTTGTACAAACGCTGCGTTTAAGTGGGTGTTGTGATCTTGTGATCGTGGCAGATGGGATAGAGGTTGATGGGGGTGAAATTGAAAGGCTGAATGGCGGGTTTGGCCTTCGGATTGCTATAATATAATCAGCCTTGAACGAAAGGCTTTAAGGGGGGCAGATACCAACCGTTGTTTGGGGTGTGGTAGGACTCTATTGACAGCGACAGTCAGGTACGCTGGACGGAGGAAGGCAAGCTCGCACTTACGTGAGCATGAGGACTCATGAGGAGCTGTTTCTTCATCTCTGCAGCAATATTAACGTGGCGGTACAGGGACTAGGTCGGCGCCGCATGATCCGTCAGTATCAGCTCACTGACGTCACTCTCAACGTACCTCCTCAGCCTTACGAGCCCGATCTCCTCAGACGAATGAGTGATACCTACTGTGAGAACAGAACATTCAACTCACCGCTCGTCGCCGCAATCTGATTCCTGAGGTTGCGATTCTCGTTAAAGATGAGGTTGAACTGATTCTCCCAATGAGATGCTCTCTTCAACGCTTCACCCTCTTGATACGCAGTCTTTGCTTGGCGCTGAGTAATGTTCTCAAGCTGAATTTTCAGCTCAGCGCTCAGCGCTCTAACTTTGTCAAGTTCCCGCGTCGCGTGATCTTTGGACGCAGTCATTTGCGAGATTTGAGTTTGAAGTTCAGTGCAGCGTCCCCTTAGCGCAAAGACCTCTAAAATTATGGATAATTATTGGAAGGTTCGAGCGTAAACGGAACGACGAGACCTTTGGCGGAGTTTGATTCCTGCATTTGCATGAACAGACTTTCCAAGATGTCCTGCCTGGCGCGATGATATGCAACGAGAGTATAGAGGCCTCCATGTGTCTATGCCAAAAAGGAACTGTCTAAGACGTGCCAAAGAGCGACTTGTACACAAACAAAGCACATACCAGGTAAGAACTCTCGTCCAGCACGAGTGTCATATATCTGGCCACTGCATCTTTCGCGGGAAGATATTGGCACAGGCATGACTCAAGTTCGTTCTAGGCAGAAGCATGTTTGGGAGCACCATCGCGTTGGGGGTCTTGCACCTGTGCTTACAAATTTAATTCTGGCCTCATTCGGAAACCTTTCACGCCACGTCGAGCTGATGCTACCCGTAAGCGACGCCAATAATTTGTGGGCCTCTGTGAGGCTTGGTGCCTTTGCAAGTGCATCGAGAATGTCACTGCGGTGAGCGCAGAAGTCGATGACAATGGAAAACAATTTGGTCACTCGATCACGGGCGGTAGGCTTGAGCCACCACAAAGGTTGTGCTCTTGGATCTCCACCAGAAAAAGCCTGATTAGATGGTGCAGTGTGACGTCCATCGTTGGACATAGAGCCGAGGCTAAAGTGCAGTTTGCGGGTTGAGGCTGCAATTCAAACCCTCGGGGTGATGCCGAATGTGTGTGACTCAATTGAATTGCAAGTCGAAGGGCGGAACAGCTGCCTACATTTGTCAATCAGAAGGAGCAACGACCTATATTGACGACAGCTATAAGCAAAGGATGATCCACTACAAGCTTAAGTAAATATCATTTGTAACATTTGTAGCTTCACATACAGTAATCAACGTCGCTGAATGCAGAGCATCGCGTGGGAGCGGAGATGCTTGCTAGCCCAGCCAAATGAAAAGGAGCCAGGTGGCCAACCATGTACATAACCCTTTCATAAGAATATGCTAAGCTTGGATGGGAGGCTTACTAAGCTAAGAAGACAAGACAAACTACTTTCATACAACTGCAGCCCCTCAAGCAGTAGTCACCCGACAAGCCTAGTAACGCCTTCTACGGAGGCCCGTTCAACTCGGAGATCCGGGTGGGCCAACTTGATTACCCACCTTCCAGCCGAAACGGCATATAGCATTCTAGACGGGAAAAGGGGGTGGTCCGATAGCATCGACAGACAAGAACATCACCTCCCACTACCAATTGCGAACCATCCGAAAGTTGTAGAGCGAAAGGGGACTGGCGTCCGTATTGGGTACAGATGTTATTATACTGTTATCAACGAGAACACAACGTATAGGAGACAGGCACTCGACATGACAAGCAGGGAATCAATAACCGCAGCGACAAAACCCCCGACGGTCATGGAAAAGCCTTTGCTGTCTCTTGAACTCGCCATTTCCTTCGATGGTCGATCACGATTACAAACCTCGTTACTACAACGGAAGGCCATAATAGGACAATCGCCAGTGTTACCACTGTGTGTATTAAAAATAGGCAGCCCCCAACCACTTTGCATGGAGGCAATACAATGCGCCCATCGTGGTAACAGTGTATATGTACGCCAGCACGGCAAAAAGGAGAGTTATGGCTTATGTCTTATGTCAGAAGGGCTAAAAGCCGCAAGCCCACTGCGAGATCGAGCGGGTCCAACGGCCTCACCGATGGATTAGAAACGAAAAAGTTGCGCAAGAGCGCGATAATGTTACCATTCAGTAATAAAATTACCCTGAGGGCCATTCATATACGTGAATGCAGCCTGCTAGCAGGCTGCAAGATGTTGCAGCGGCAAGATGATAAAACAAAGCCGAGCCAAATGCCTAAGACGGCTCTAACGAGCATCAATCACGGAAGAATTGGCCTCACCAATAATGGAGCAATGCGCAAGATCTTAGACTTCTCAAAACGGGTTCCGCCATGTCCGCCGTGTCCGTCAGGGGTCGGGTTTCCACAATCCGATGGTGCTGCCATCAGAGCCATCAGTTTCGCGCAGCAGTGTATCCAATTTCACGCTATAAAATCCAGATACTAGGCAGCCTCTTTCAGAAAGGTCCCTTCAAGAGGATCATAGAACCGAAAAAAGTTGTGTCCAGCTTGCGCAAAGAGGCAGGTGTTGAACACGTGGGGGAACCAAGTGCAATATTGACTCTCTGGCATGACGCTGATAATTAGAAAGAAAAAGAGTGCATCGATCGAGGGCATGTGCGCTTGCTTCCCCCTCATCAATCGTCGCGAGAATATACGAGATGTTGTATGTGCTAACGGGCGTAGATGGCCCTTAAGCAGCACTAATGAATTGGGTGGAATCTCCCGAAGCGAACAACAACAACCACGCACATCACATCGCGGAACTGGTTAAAGATGCAATCGATCATAGCTCCTAGCTATAGGCAAGTCTGTCCTATTTTACGATCACCAACTGGCCATTTGGTTTTTTTTTCCCACTCTTGGCGCCCTCGCTTCCATACAGGTTCCTCTCAAGACATGTGTGGACTACTTAATTGCTATACCCCATTGTAGCTAGGTGCTGTTTTCTCTCAGGCAACCAAGGACCCTGCGTCAACTCCGAGGACTTGCAATCATTAAAGGATCCTCTATTGTATTGCAGTCAGATCACCCACCCAATATATCGCCTATGTACTCATATCCCTGCTGATGGAACCAGGGTTTTTTACTGGGTCATTCCTTCCAGCATCTCTTCTTGGAAACTACTTCCAAACTATGTAAAATTCCAACCCCCAAGGACAATGTTTGCCACGGAATATGAGTCTCCGCTTTTCGCTGGGTGTGGCAAGTAATACGCGCGTGTGTGTACTTGTTATAGTGTTGCATGGGAAGTATGTTACCCGCAAGCCGGGACTGCAGAACACTTCTGCCAGCTTTGCTCTCCCTAAATCTGCCAACCTTTGAACGCATCCTCAGATCGATGCGCCCTTCCCTGGGAGAATCCAGTCCCTACGCAACGGATTGAGATAGCTACCATACACGTGGACCTTCACCGCCAACGCAGTACAATATTGCTGTTCTATTATTCGCAAGCTTTCTCCCCCAATCTTTACCCAGGCCCTCTCCCTGCTGCCTCTTTCTCATGCTCTTGGAATGATACCATTGCTCACACCTTGCCCGCATTTTAGCATGGTTAACCATAACGTGCTAGAAAGAAATGTCGGCTCTTCGGCCCTGAAGCTCCACATAAGCCCAAAAAACACTCTTGAGCGTCCATCTCACGCGACGTGTCTCATTTGTGACGCACACGACCACTTCCAATGATCGTGTGTAGAAAGCCACTGTCATTTAACGATCTCACAGTGCGAAGCGAGTGACCACAGTCTTTGTTCACTCGCTTTCCTCTTTTTTACCTACGGTCGGTTCCGCATCCTAGGTTCTCATCGATTCGTTCATGCGAATCTTGCGATACATGGCAAGCAGTAACTACGACTTTTCGGTTGCTGGGAGTCTTCTCATTCGGGCCGACTGATTGTTTGATATGATTACTCCATGGTACAATGCGTGGAGATACCTCAGGCAGGTGGTTGCTTTCTTCGTTCCTCGCCACCCAACGCATCCTACGCCCCCGCTAGTATAAGTCCCGTTGCAGAGCTAAATTATGTCCAATGCACTGCTGGCAGTCTTACCTGTCTCCATCATTTGTTCGGAGTGGCGAATTGGATGTAGTGTATACGATCCCCCTGTATCTGACCCACGCACCCAATCAGGCGACTCCCTCACTCCTTCCCACACAACCACACATACCCACACATATGTCACACATGCGGCGTTGCCACCTAGTTACTCCCATAGTCGGCATGTGCGACCCCCTCATGCGGTTAACTCTCCTCGTTTGGAGATCGGCTCTTGCTCTTCTAGGCCCTATTTCATTTCTTACGTTTTGTGAATTGACCCTGGACCGCTTTGATACTACAACGGGAGCGTGACTGGGCCTGATGGTGCTTGCGCGTGTGAGAGAGAGCACGAGAGACCATTAATACTGTCCTGGAGGATGAAGGGAGTGAGAACTTGACTAAATGTGTATTTGTTAAACCCACGGTGCCAACACCAATTTGGTCACATTGTCGGGATAATACAAACAACCTGTGCTTCTTCGAAGACACAAATGCGAGACTTGGATCCAGATTTCTTGGAGCATCGCCGGCATCCCGACGATAGACATCCCCAAGCTCACGAACCCTAGCTTTCCGCCGCTTTCTCACAGTCACGACACCCCTCAGTGTCGCTAACGGCATGGAATAAGGAGTCCGATGTACCTCCGGACTTGTACTCACTCCTTTATCATTACCAAAACCCACAGTACTATGTTCCTGCACGGATGCATATCCGCCATTTGATTCCAGCATACAGCTTTCATAACCGTGCACTCATGCACTGCATGGCAATTATTGGCTAGTGGAACCCGAGTTTGGGCCACACGTTGAGGCCTTAGGGCCCATTCCTGATCCAGCCACGGTCGTCATCAACTTCCCACCATAAATATTCCAATATGACCACTTTAGTTCTAGTCAACTCTCAGGTCCAGTTTACAAAAGTAGATGTTATCCTGACCTTACTTGTTTATCCAGTTCGTCCGCCGTGTGATCCGTATCACACTACCACATAGGTCTTTGGCCCAGCCTCACGTGTAGCGCAACGCATACTGGCGACTCATAGAATAGCCACAATAAGACAGGGTTGTTTTATCGCTGCATTTCAATATCCGCTGTCGGCCGACAGTTTACTCG